AGCGTCTAGGAACCCTCCGCGGACGTAAGATTCGCCCCGGGCGCTATATTCCATATAGCGGACCCGTTTTTCGGCTCGCGACCCCGCGGCGGAGGAGAACCGGCGCGTCTCCGACGAAGTCCTCGTCGCCGCGGTCCGGAGGCACGCGGAAGCCGTCGACGCGGACCTCGCGACCGGTCTGCTGGCCTTTGCGGCGTGGCTCGGCGCCTCGGAGTCGTGCGAGGCGCTCGTCGCGCTCGGCGCGCGCGCGTCGCTCGCCGGGCGCGCGTCGCCGGCGCCGCTGAACCGCACGGCGCTCCACGTCGCCGCCGCGCGGGGCGCGGTCCGCGCGCTCCGCGCGCTCCGCGCGCCCGAGTTAGCGGAGGCGCGGGACGCCTGGGGGCGGACCGCGGCGGACATCGCGGCGCTCCAGGCCCCGGGCGACGACGACTGCGGCATCGCGTCGCTCGACTTCTCGGACCTCGCGGAGGGCGGCCTCGAGCCGTACATTTTCGCGGGCGCGCCCGTCGTCGTGCGGGGCGAGGCCGCGGACTGGGCGACGGACGCGTGGGCGCCCGCGGCGCTCGCGACGCGGGACGATTTTGCCGTGGCGCCGCACCCCATCCCGCACGGCGAACGCAGCTTCGGCATCCCGGCGCCGCGCGGCCCGCGGACGCTCGGCGCGTTCGTCCGCTCGTGGGCGGAGCCCTCGTCGTCGTCCCCGCCGGACTACGTCTTCGACACCGGCGCCGCCGCGGCGATCCTGCTCGGCGAAACCGACGTCGCGACGCGGCTCCTCGAGCTGCTGCGACCGACGGACCGCGTCGACGGGCTCCTCGACCGCCACCCGGCGCGCCTCCACGCGGGCGCGGCGCGCGACGTCGTCCAGGTCTACGCGGGTCCGGCCGGCGCGGGCGCGCCCTTCCACTACCACGAGCACGCGCTCAACGTCCTGACCCACGGCGCGAAGACCTGGTGGCTCCTCCCGCCGTCCGACGCGGTCTACTCCGTCGCGCACCCGGCGACCTGGGCGCGCGAGCCGGCCGACGCGCGCCGGTGCGTCCAGCGCGCCGGGGACGTCCTCTACGTCCCCGCGAACTGGGCACACGCCGTCCGCAACGACGAGCCGAGCGTCGGCGCGGCCTTCGAGTTCGCCGACGCCTACATCTCGTTCAGCAACACGCGGCGCGTCTTCCAATACTAACGGTTACCGGCGAAGCCGCGCTTCTTCTTCTTCGGCCTCTTGGCGGTCGGCGGCGGCGCGTGTTCGACGATGTTGCCCGTGCCGAGGAAGTGGGCGAGCGCGGCGAACTCGCGGCCGTAGTTCTCCGCGGCCAGCAGGGTCATGGCGACGTACTCGGTCGCGTCCGCGCGGAGCGCGTCGGCGATGTCGGACGGGTGGTCCGACCGCAGCGGCGCGCCGAGCCACGCGTCGTAACCGAATGTCACGAGGATCTCGTCGCCGGCCGCGACGTCCTCCGTCAGCACGAGGCCCATCAACGGCACGCACAGCGGGACAAGGACTCCGCTCCGCGCCGCGCGCGAGGCGGCGAGGTAGCGCAGCACCGCGTCGTCGTCGGCGGCAGCGCATTCGGCGCCGTCATTGGCGACGTGGCCGAGCCAGCCGGCGTCGCGGCGCGCCGGATTCGCGGACACGTGGAACCGCTCGGAGCCCGCGGGCACCGCGGACGTGACGAGGCCCGGCGGGTAGACCCAATGCAGGCGACGACCCGACGCCTCCATGTCGGCGTCGAGCGCGAAGCCGTCGCCGCTCGCGTCGACGGTGAGATCGGGGGCGTAGAGCGTCGCGAGCGTTCCCGCGGGCAGGTCCGCGGCGGCGAAGAGGCCGTCGCCGCGAACCTCGCAGCGCTGCGCGAGCGTTGCCAAACCGCCGCCGATGCCCGCCGCCACGGCCGGCCACTCGCGCGCGCAGAGCGCCGCGCCGGCCTGCAGCCACTGCAGGCTCTTCTGCTCCTTCTCCGGCGCTTTTTTCGCGCGCGCGCCGCCGCGCAGGGCCAGTGCCGAGATTGGTGTGCAAAAGAGCGTCACTAGAAGCATTTTAAGGACGCATGGCCGCCGCATCGATGGTCTCCAGGACGGCAACCTGGCGCTCGCCATCGCAGAATTTGCTGTCTTCCGCGAGGTGTTGCCCGTCTTCGACACCCGCGCGCACGCCGACGCAGCCGCCCGAGGACCCCCTTTCGCACCGCGCCGCGACCGCTAGGAACCCCTTTCACACCGCCCTTTGACCGACACGATGTTGTCCCGTCTCGCCGCCCGCCAGCTCGTCGCTCGCGCGGCCCCGCGCGCGAGTCGCACGCTCAGCGCGCTCCCGGAAGATGCCGAAGGTCACGGCGGCGTGTCCTTCGAGCTCACGGACGAGCAGAAGGCCTTCCAATTGATGGCGCGCCAGGTCGCCAAGGAGGTCATCGCGCCCGCGGCGGCGGAGCTCGACCGGACCATGGCCTTCCCCGACGAGATCTTCAACGAGCTCTGGGAGATGGGCCTCGTCAACGCCCACATCCCCGAGGCCTACGGCGGCATCGGCCTCCACACGCTCGACGGCTGCGTCATCCAGGAGGAGCTCGCGTGGGGCTGCAGCGGCGTGTCGACGGCCGTCGAGGCCAACACGCTGGCCCAGATGCCCGTCATCCTCGCGGGCGACGAGCGGCAGAAGAAGGAGTACCTCGGCCGCATGACCGAGGCCCCGCTCAAGTGCGCCTACGGCGTGTCCGAGGCCGGCGCGGGCAGCGACGTCGCGGGCATCCAGACGCGGGCCGTGAGGAAGGGCGACGACTACGTCATCAACGGGTCCAAGCTCTGGATCACGAACGGCGGCGTCGCGCAGTCGAGCGGCGACGGCGGCTGGTACTTCGTGCTCGCGGTCACGGACCCCGACGCGTCCGTGGGCCGGAAGATGACGGGCTTCGTCGTCGACGCGAACACGCCGGGCATCGACGTCGGCGACAAGCTCGTCAACATGGGCCAGCGCTGCTCCGACACGCGGCCCCTCTTCTTCGAGGACGTCGTCGTGCCCGCGGCGAACGTGCTCGGGTCCGAGGGCGCGGGCTTCAAGATCGCCATGGGCGCCTTCGACAACACGCGGCCGCCCGTCGCCGCGGGCGCCGTCGGCGTCGCGCGCCGCGCGACGGACGAGGCCCTGGCCTACGCCAAGGAGCGCAAGACCATGGGCTCGCCCATCGCGGGGCACCAGTCCATCGCATTCATGCTCGCGGACATGGCCACGGGCATCGAGGCCGCGCGGCTCCTGACGCACAAGTCCGCGGCGCTCATCGACTCCGGCGTGAGCAACACCATGGTCGCGTCCATGGCCAAGGCCTTCGCCGCGGAGCACTGCAACAAGGTCGTCTCCGACGCGGTCCAGATCTTCGGCGGCGCGGGCTTCAACACGGAGTACCCCGTCGAGAAGCTCATGCGCGACGCCAAGATCTACCAGCTCTACGAGGGCACGACGCAGATCCAGAAGCTCATCATCTCCCGCCACATCCTCAACATGGACAACCTCGACCCCTGAGTGCTGTCGCCCCGGCGTCCTCCCCGTAAGGGACGCGCCTTCGTGCGAAGCTTAGACAGAAGCGCTCCCGTTTTCGCGCGCCCCGACGTGCGGGCCGGGACCCAGACACGCACCTCGAGGAGGACGAGCTCGAGGCCGCGCTTGCGGACCACGCGTCGGTCTTCCGCAAGTACACGAACACGTCGCGGTCTCGCAACGCGCACGGCAACGCGTCTTTTCCCAAACTTGACTTCAAGGTTGAAGGCGCTCCACAACTTGAGTGCTAGCACATGGTGCGTCGTACTATCGGAGGCGCAGCAAGCATGGCCCCACGCGGGATCCGCTGCTGCGCAGCAGCTGCTGCTGCTCGCGACCTCGGCGATCGCCGAAGCCGTGACGTACGCCTCCATCGAAGCGCAGCACGCGGCGACCGCCGCGACGCTGCAGCCGTCGCCCGACGCCGGCCGGGCCCTGGGCCAGATCGGCGTCGCGCGCGTCGACGGCGTCGTCGACGCATCCCGCTGCGCCGCGCTGCGCACGCGCATCTACGACCTCCTCGCGACGCTCGACGACGACGACGGCCCGCGCGACCGGCGCTTCGTCGCCGGCACGCGGCTGCGATTGGGAGACGCGATGCGAGCGACGTTCGCGGGGCCCCGGAGCGACGTGCTCCTGCCCTGCGAGGACGCGACCGTCTGGCACGTCCTGAGCGAGGCGCTCGCCGCGCTCCTGCCGAGCTGCGAGGCCGCCGCGCGCGAGCTCCTCGGCGCGGCCGACGGCGACGAGCTCGAGGTCGTCGAGCTGGGGGGATTGACGGCGTCGCTCGGCGCGACGCACCAGCACCTCCACAGCGACTGGGCCGAGGGCAACGGCAAGCTCCCGCCGCGCATCGTCTGCTTCGTCGCGCTCCAGGACGTGGGCGCCACCGACGAGGGCGGCACGGTGTTCCTCGGCCGCGACGGCGCGGCCTACACGTCCGCGCCGCTGAAAGCGGGCGACTGCGTGCTCTACGACGCGAGCCTCGAGCACTACGGCGCGGCCAAGTCCGCGGGGCCCGAGCACCGCGCGCTGCTCTACTACTCGCTGGGCGTCGCGCCCGCCGACGACGCCGCGAAGGCCGCGGCGGAGGACGCGCCCAAAGGCTTCCGCGCGGCGCCCCGGCTCCGCGCGCGGCCGATCGTCGCGCGGCGGCCGTCGAAGCTGCTCGCCCTGGAGAACATCGCCATCCTCGAGCGCGGCGCGGGCCTCGCCGTGGGCCCCGTCCGCGTCGACTGCGACTCCTGCGGCGGCTTCGGCGTCTACGCGGCGCGCGATTTGGAGAACGGCGAGGAGCTCGCGCGGGTGCCCATGGCCTCCGTGCTCGGCGCGACGCGGGCCGCGGCGGCGCTGGGGCCCGAGGCCGAGGCGTTCCTCGCGGCGGAGGCGCGCGCGGGCCGGGGCAAGGACGCGCAGGCGGTCCTCGTCGCCGCGGCGCTCGCCAAGGCGTACGCGTCGGACGAACCCGAGGGCCCCTTCGTCCCCTGGGCGGCCCACGCGGCGACGCTGCCCTGGGGGCGGCCGGGCGACGTCTCCGACTCGCTCGCGGCCCACCCGACGCTCGCGGCGTGGCGCGGCGAGGCCCCCGACGCGGACGACCAGCTCCGCGCCGTCGTCGCCGAGCTCGACGCCGCGGTGACCTACGTCGCGGCCCTCGGCGGCGTCGGCGACGGCGACATAGCGCGGCGGGCCGTGCTCCTCGTGCTGACGCGCGCCTTCGACCTGAGCCATCTCGAGGCGTCGCTCGACGTGGCTCTCGTGCCCTTCGCGGACCTCTTCAACCACCCGTCCGCGTCGGCCATGCGGCGGAACCCGAAGCTGCTCAACGTGAAGATCACGGGCGCCGCGGTCCAGTCCACGCGCCAGGGCGACGACCTCGTCGTCCGCGCGCCCAAGGCCGCCGTGCTCCACGCGGGCGACGAGCTCTTCAACTGGTACTCGAACGCGGGCTTCGGCGCGGACGGCGCCGACGCCTGGCGGCGGAGCGAGAACGCCTTCCTCTACCAGTACGGCTTCAGCCCCTGGACCTAGGCGTAAGGCGAGACCTCGCGGGTTCGTTCGGCGGCATATCGGCCGCGCGTTCGTGCGAATTCGGGGTCCCTTGCGCGGCGCGAAGCGGCGGCCAGGTCCGCTCAGAGGAGGACCGCGGCGGCCGCGGCCGCGGCGGCGGCGGCGAGCGCGAGGCCCGCGCGCGCGCCGCCGTCCTGGACGTCGGACGACGCCGTCACCTCCGCGGACATGGAGTCGACGGTGACGGCGGCAAAGGCCGCGGACTCGCCCTCGGCCGCGGCCGCGGTCTGCACGTACGTCTCCATCTCCGACGTCGTCACCGCGTCGAGCGCGTCGACGAGGTCGTCGCCCTCGTCCGCGTCCTCGACGTCGATCTCGTAGGTCACGACGACGGACGCGCTCAGCCTGCGGCGCCGCGCGGCGGCGATGGTCACGCTGACCAGGGCCTCGTCGACGCCCGCGGCGGCCGCGATGGCCGCGACGAAGACCTCGGGCGCCGCGACGGCGTCCTCGTAGGTGATGCCGTCGAAGGAGAGCTCGCCGGCGACGACGTAGTCGACGGCGCCGACGGCGTCGCAGTCCCAGGTGCCGTCGCAGCCGTAGGCGTCGGCGACCGTCGCGAACATGCACTCGTTCATCGCGACCTCGTCGGCCGCGCACGCTTCGCAGGCCGGGTCCAGCGCGCAGACCTCCGGAAACGCCGCGGCGACGTCGGAGCAGGACGCGGGCCCCGGGCCGTCGTCGTCGTCGTCGTCGTCCATCGCGTCGTCGCCCCAGCAGCTCTCCTCCTCCATGACGCAGATGAAGTAGGTCGCGAGCGTCGTCTCGAGGCACTCCGAGTCCAACTCCGCCAGGAAGTCGTCCGCGTCCCCCGAGTTGCCGTAGGCCCCGTCCGCGTCCCCCGAGTTGCCGTAGGCGTAGCCGCCGTCCGACCCGTAGGAGTAGGAGTAGGACGACCCGTCGTCGTCGAGGAACAGGCTGTTCGTGCCCGTCTGGCTGAAGCCGGAGATGTCGTCGGTCGAGTAGCACTCCGGGTACGCGACGCACGCGGACGTGTCGAGGTCCCCGAAGCCGAGCGCCGTGTAGTAGGTGATGGTCGCGTCGTCGGACGCGCAGAGGCCCGTGCAGTCGCTGAAGAGGACGATGATGCTGCCGCCGCCGTCCGCGCAGGTGAGGCAGTCGAGCGCGCCGAGCGAACCCGCGGCGCCGTAGGCGCAACTCGCGCACTCGTCCGGCGGGTAGGCGACGACGACGTCGTCGTCGAGCAGGTCCGGCGAGCCGCACGTCGTCTGTACGTTGGCCGCGCAGTCCGCGTCGTCCGTGGACGTGTCGAGGCCGCCGAGGCGCGACGCGCGCGCCCTCGAGGCCGCGGCCGCCTTGGCCTCGCGGGACGGCGCGGGCGCGGCGTGGGCCGCCGCGAAGTCGGACAGCGTCAGTTTGCCATGGGCCTCGAGCCGCTCGTGGAGCAGCGGGTGCGCCGTGGGCACGAGGCGCTTCGGCTGCGAACCGGGGCGGGCTGCCCCCCGCGCCCAGGGCCTTGGAGAGCGCCTTCGGCAGCGGCTTGCCCAACGCCTGGAGCTTCGCGCGGGCCTCGTCAAGCTGGCTCGCCGGGTCGCGAGCGGCCTGGGCAGCGGCGACGAGCGAGAGGGCGAGGTGAAGCAGCATCATCGTCTGTTTCTCGAGGAACAAAAGCGCGGCGTTCAGTGAACGAAACTCTTGCTATAAAAGAGCTGAGATGTTGAATATATCAAGTGAGTGAATTTCAGTCGTGTGTAATTGTGCGGCTGGGCTGGGCTGGGCGCCTCGAAGCAGCGCCGTGTGCGGCCAGGGCACCGCGCTCAAGCCACGAGTGCACGCCGAGGCCGCGGCAACAACCGCCGCCGCCGCGATGGTCGCCGCCGTCGAGGCCATCCGCGCCTTCGCGCTCCCGCGGCGGAGCCCGGCGAAGCGGCTGCCCGACGACGTCCTGCGCTACGTCGCGTCCTTCGTCGGCAGTTTGCCCGACGTCGACGAGGCCGTGCGGCTCAACCGCCCCGCGCTGCGCGCCATCTTGGCCCGGCGGCTGCGGAAGCACGTCCCCGCGAAGCTGTCGCTGAGCGCGCTCATCCGGCTGCTGCTGCCGCTGACGCACCCGGCGCTCGACGAGTCCGAGCGCCGGAGCCTCTACTGCGCCGCGCTCGCGCGGCGGGACCTGTCGAGACGGTACGACTGCACCCTGCAGGCGTCGCTCAGGGCCGTTCGCTACACGATCGCGACCTGCGACGCCGCGGACGTGTCGCGCGCCGCGCGGCTGCAGCACGAGCTCCGGCGGCTCGAGGACGCGCGCGCGTAGGACTAGCGCACATGGCATGGTGCTTACGGCGTCCTTGGTCACCAGCCCGGGTGCCGCTTCCGCGCCGCGGGCGCCTTCTTCGCGAGCATCATGGCGCCGATGGACACCGGCGCGGGCCCCGGCGGCGCCTGGACGACGGCGAGCAGGCCGACCTGCGCCGGGCCCGGCGGCGGCGGCGGCGGCGCGCCGGGGACGACCTTGCGCGTGCGCGCGTGGAGGTCCTGGAGCGCCGCGAACTTGGGCGGCACGTAGAGCGCGCGCTTCGCGCGCGTCAGGGCCACGTGCCACGCGTGGATCTCCTCCTTCTTGACGAACTTCGACGGCGCGCCGTGGTCGTCGACGAGCGCCGCGAAGTCGTCGCCGACGACGACGACGTCGAACTCGAGGCCCTTGGTCTTGTGGGACGTCGCGAAGGTCACCGTCGGCGCGGCGCGCGCGGCGTTCGCGCCGCGGAGCGACGCCGTGAGCCGCGGCGTGCGCTCGCGCCACTTCTGCACCGCGTCGGCGGCGCCGCGCACGTTGACGTCGACGAGGGACCCGCGCGCGCCGGCGGCGTCCTCCTCCTCCGCGGCCCGGAGCAGGTCCGCGAAGGAGCGCCACTTGGCCACGGCCGGCGGCGCGCCGGGCCGCCGCGCCGCGTTGG